TGGGAACACTTCAATGCCAAAGACTTGCAAAGCCATTTGCAGGAAGTTGGCAAGGGAGAAAGTAAGGGAAAGTCCTTGGTAAAAGGACATGTCAGCAAGGGCAAAGGAAAATCAAAAGGGAAGCAGCAACTTGCTTTGGAAGATGGGGATGTGGATGAAAAAAGCGAAGAAGAGTTGTGGAAGGAAGTTTTGGCCAAGGCCAAGAGAGGCAAAGACCAGGCAGCCGTTGCCAAAGATGATTTTGAAGCTGCACTGAGGAAAGCTGACCTTGCTAAAAGGTTGACAAAAGGAGGGAAAAAAGACTGTGAGAACACCTTGGAGGGTTTGAACAAAAAGGTCAAGGTGGTGAAGGACTTGCTGGCAAAGAAAGAAAAAACAATGCCTCTTGAGAAGGCCAAAAGTCTTCTGCTAGACTTGATGGGCAAAATCAAGGAAGTGAAAGAAGAAACCAGGGAATTGAACCAGCTGGCAAACAAGGCCAACAGCAAAGCCAGCAAGAGCTAAGCTTCCCTTGAAGAATGTCCTTGGTAAAAGGAATGAAGTTGGCCAAACTTCCTTAGAAGAGGTTCCTTGGTAAAAGGAATGGATTTTGTTAAGTGGCCCAAGTTTTGACCAGCCTTGATTTTGAGGCTTTCTTTTTGTAAAATGGCTGCTGGAATCTGCAATTTGCCCTTGTTCAAAGGGATGCTGAAGATGCTGAAGCAACTTCCCTTGCTAAAAGGGTAGCATTGCAGGTTAGCAAACCAGAACCAACCCAAGAAATGCAAGTGCAAAAATGTGGTCAGCAGGGGGGCAGTGGGGACTGGTGGCTTTGGGGTTTCCAAGGGTCTCAAACTTACTAGTAGTGCCAAGTGCTTAATTTAATGCCACTGTAAGACAAGTTTTTAATGCACCTGACTTGTAAATCACCCCACCAAATGTATATACCACACCTCCACCAGGTTTCCTTTCAGCACTGGCCTGCCACTGCTGCTTTTGGCCCAAGATGGCATAGCCATTTGCCTGCCTTGCTAAAAGGTTGGCCTTGCTAAAAGGTTGGCCTTGCTAAAAGGTTTGCCTTGCTAAAAGGCTCCCCTTGTTGAAAGGTGGTTTTGCAATGTTAAGGCCACCCAAGAGACTCAAGGGGTGGCACTTTGAAAGGTCCAAGGCATTGCCAAAGGAAGATGGCTTGACTGACCCAGTTTCAACTTCAAGCCCTTTGTGCAATAGATTGCTGGAGCTGTGGTCTTTGGGGAAGCTGTCTGCTACACAGGTGGCAGAGATTGGACATCTTGCAATGCTAGAAGGTTGTAAATCACCTGAGATCACATCTTTGGCCAAATGTGGCAATTTTGGCCAAAACAAAGGCAATGCTCACAGGGACATGGTGGCACACTTCTGCAAAGGCATTCAGATTTGTGATCCTATGCCCATTGCTGTCGATGTTTTAGATCAGAACACAAGAAAGACTACCAAAGAAGATGCAATGCTTTATTTGCCACACCTGATGTTTAGCAAACTTGCCCAACATTATCCCTCTGAGTTTGAAAAGCTGTTTTGCTTCAAAGAAACAGCAGCCTTTTGGCAAGGTGTGGAGAAAGTTCGAGACCCAAAGCTTGCACCACCTTTGACCACCCTTGATAAAAGGGTCATCCAGCCCACAAAGACATGTCCAATCTTTATTCATGGTGATGGTGTTGAATACCAAACCAGGGATTCACTTATGACTTGGAGCTGGGGTTCCATGCTTAGCAAGCAGGACAGTTTGGCATCCCATCTCCTTTTGGTAGCTTTTCCAAAATGTTGCTCAGTGGCCACCACTTGGGGCCGTCTTCATGATTGGATTAGTTGGAGCTTCGATGCCTTGTTAAAAGGCAAGCACCCATCCAAGGATCCTTATGGAGAGGCCTTGCCAATGCCACTGTCAAGCTTGGCAGACCAACCATTAACACCAGGCAATCACAGATGTTGGATATGGTCTATACAAGGAGACCAAGAATTCTTTTCCAACACTTTGTCTTTGCCACATTGGCAAAACAAATTCCCTTGTCATGAGTGTGATGGGCAGAAGCCTTCCTTCAAAGGCAAAGAATGTCCTGAAGGAAAATCTGTGAAGCTCTTGAGAGAAGAACAGCAGAGATATGTTTATGTGACCCCTGACCAAGCTCTCCTTGTTAAAAGGAGCAGCCATCCTCTTTTTTCGATTCCTGGGGTGACCACTGCAGTGGTGAGGGGTGATGGCCTCCATATCCTCTATTCCAGAGGGGTTGGATCTCACTTAGCAGGCTCTTTGCTCCACTACCTGTGTTTTTTTGATGGTGTGAAAGCGAGACAAAAAATTCCACCAAACAAGAGACTCCAAACAATCTTTGGTAGAATCAAGGAGCTTTATGTGCAACATCATGTGAGCTCAAGGCTGAGCAACCTGAGGCTCTCCATGATTTGTTCTGATGCTGCAAAGCCCCATAAGAGCTTTGCATGCTTGGAAGCCAAGGCAGGTGAAACAAAGCACCTGCTTCCATGCTTGCTGCATGTGCTCAAGGAGGTCTTGCCTGACAATGAACCTGTTCACCAAACCATGGTTGCCTGCTTGGAAGCATTTGTCGACATTGGGCATCTGTATGATGTAATGGACATCTTTCCTACCCCTACAGAATTTGAAAAGGCTTCCAACCTTGCTAAAAGGTTTTTCAGCACATATGCAGACTTGAATGAGTGGGCTGCGAAGGAAAACAGAAAGCTGTTTCACACCACTCATAAATTTCACACATTCCACCATTTGATCAAGAACTCAAAGTTCCTCAACTGGAGGCTTCATCAGAACTACAGAGCAGAGCATTTTGTTGGCCAAATGGCAACCTTGGCACATTCAGTCAGCTTTGGAGTGAAATCTTCAAGGCTGTCATCAAAAATAGCTGTCAAGTACAAACTGCTGTTACACTTGCAACTCCTCAGGCCTGGTTTTGGAAGCTGCCTCAATGAGGCTGATGATCCTTGATAAAAGGATATGAGCTTGTGTGTGTGTGCTTAGCTTATAATTCCTTGCTGAAGGGATGGGCAGCTTGTATGTAGCTTCCTTGCTGAAAGGATGAACTGCTGGTATCCTTGCTGAAAGGATGAGATGCATTAATGGCTGAAGTTTGTGGAAAAAAGATGCTGCCAGCTGCCACTGGGCTGCCAACCCTTATTGATTTTGCTATTGATTTTCTCATGCAAAAGACATTCCAAAATTATTGATTTTGAAGCTCTTCCTCCTATTGATTTGCATACGATGAAAGCCATGTAGATTTAATTGAAAAAAGAGCTAAATCAATAGAGGTTCAAGCTTATTGATTAGAATCAATAGCCGATGCTCAGGGCACTCTCAACCCCCAGACCCCCAGAGTGAAACGGGAACCCTTGCTACGCATTCGGGAATAACCTATGTATTCCCAAATGAATTGCCTAATTGAAAACGAATACATAAGGGAGCTTTCCCCCCCAAAAAAAAAACACGTATGTATTCCCAAATGAATTACCTAATTGAAAACGATTACATAAAAGGAACTTTCCCAAAAAAAAACTATGTATTCCCAAATGAATTACCTAATTGAAAACGATTACATCAAGGGAACTTTCCAAAAAAACAAAAAATCACATGTATTCCCAAATGAATTGCCTAATTGAAAACGAATACATACAGCGAACTTTCTTGGAACTTTAGTATTCACAAATGAATTGCCTAATTGAAAACGAATACATAAAGTGAACTTTCTTGGAACTTTAGTATTCACAAATGAATTGCCTAATTGAAAACGAATGCATAAAGTGAACTTTCTTGGAACTTTAGCATTCACAAATGAATTGCCTAATTGAAAACGCATACATAAAGTGAACTTTCTTGAAAGGGTTTAGTAAGGAAAGGGTTTAGTAAGGAAATCGACCATTTGAGCCTTGTCGTTTTTTTTTGCACTCCAGGACCTTTCAGGCAAGATTTGGAGTTTGGAGTTTACTGCTTCCAGCTCAAAGAGTCTTGAGGGCTTCAGAAAGGGTTTGAGAAAGGGTTCAACTAGGAAAGGAATTGAGAAACAAATTTAATTAACCACCAAAATTTTAGAACCCTGAAATCCAAATACTTTATTTAGGGGTGTGCAAACATACATTATTATTTTGATGTCAGGGGACTTCAAGGCTACCCCCTTTGCGCGATTGTTTTTTGGCATTGTTTGAAAGGGTTTAGTAAGGAAATCGACCATTTGAGCCTTGTTGATTTTTTTGCACTCCAGAACTTTTCAGGCAAGATTTGGGGTTTGGAGTTTACTGCTTCCAGCTCAAAGAGTCTTGAGGGCTTCAGAAAGGGTTTGAGAAAGGGTTCAACTAGGAAAGGAATTGAGAAACAAATTTAATTAACCACCAAAATTTTAGAACCCTGAAATCCAAATACTTTATTTAGGGGTGTGCAAACATACATTATTATTTTGATGTCAGGGGACTTCAAGGCTACCCCTTTGCGCGATTGTTTTTTGACATTTTTTGAAAAGGTTTAGTAAGGAAATCGACCATTTGAGCCTTGTTGTTTTTTTTGCACTCCAGAACTTTTCCAAAAATAAAACCACCTATGTATTCCCAAATGAATTGCCTAATTGAAAACGAATACATAAGGGAACTTTCCCTCCAAAAAAAGAATAACCTATGTATTCCCAAATGAATTACCTAATTGAAAACGAATACATAAGGGAACTTTCCCTCAAAAGAAAAAAACTATGTATTCCCAAATGAATTGCCTAAGTGAAAACGAATACTAAAGGGAAAAACGGAAAAAAAAACGGGGAAAAAAAGTTGGCGTACTTTATTACGGGGGGGTTTTATTATTGTGAACCGGGAGTTGGCGTACTTTATTGGGGGGGGTTTATTAGCGCCATGTGAACATTAGTTGGTTATATCAATAGTTGATCCATACTAGTAAGGGATTTATACGTTATATAAGTCCTTACGTTGATCACAGCCACCAGATTCGGAATACCTTTCTGGGCCGCTCCGAGGAATGCTCCAACTTGGTCTGGGCCTTTGCGTTGCTCACCTTCCGAAACGATGAGTTGCTCCAGGCCCAACGCCGATTTTTGTGTCCCATGGCCCATGTTTGGGATTGAGGATCTATGGTACCGTACCAACCAGCGGAACCAGCTTGGCCAGGCTTTGAGCATTCGTTCCCAGGAAATTGTCTCAGTGCCTTGGTAAGCAGCTGAGAGCTATGCAGTTTCTAAAGATTTGCCTTGCAACATCTCAAAGAAACTCATAACTGCCCTGATGCGTGGCATCTATGAAGCGAAAACAACATACTCAGGATAGTTCTTAAAGAAGAAGCAGGCAACACCTCATTTCAGCAAGCAAAATATTTACATCATTATATAGTCATAATTAAATACTCATAATTATATAGTCATAAACATCTGGAGGTGTGTGTGTGTGTTGAAAAGACGTGTGCACATATGTGGCATCATGATAAAAAGATGAAATCTATACCCATTCTGGGGGATGGTTACCAATCCATTAATGGAGATTTCCACACTTTGGGGTGGATGGCCATACACATCCATAAACCATATACCGTACCATGTTTTGACCCTAGCACATACAATAGGCACGCTTATCATATATGATCATATGGAGGTTCTTAAAATGGAGGATCCCCAAGTCACCATAGTTGCTTCAATACTAAGTCATGCTCATCCATTTTCCTTGGATGACTGGGGGGTACCTCCATGGATGACTTGAAGCCTCCTCGCAACCTGAGGAGTTTATCCCCCAGAACTTGGGCAATACCGCCTGGGCTTACAATCGCTTGGGCTATCGTGCCTCCAAAGAAGGGACGCTGGGGAAAAAGGGAAAGGAACCAATCAGTCAATGTACTTTTTAATGACACCTGAAAGAAATAGCAGTTTTGCAATTACCTCACATTTGTATAATTATATAAATAAATATAAATATAATATTTGTATAATGACATTATATAATTATATATATATAAATATGTATATTTGTATCTGCGTGTGTATATATATATGTGTGTGATTATCTGCGCGTGTGCACTTCACGACTTCGGTCATTCGTAAACAGCTTTGGAAAATCACAATTTTTAATAGCTATGCAGCTATGTTTTGTCAAAGGGCAAGGTTGCATGGCTGTCAGACATGACCAGGGGGTATAGAGCCTCCATGCCTGGGGGACCACCAATGTTTCTATCACGTTCCCCACTAAAACGGCTCTTTTTTACTGTTTGGCCATGTTAGTTCCGATCTGCTGTGGCATCTCATCCTGCACAGCGCTCCAGGTGATGAACGTCTCATGCAGTGCTTGGTGCGCGAAGCCGCTGGGCGACTTCATGAATGCAGCGGACAAGAAGTCTTGGATCTCATTGAATCTATTTCCACAGGCCGTTCCCGTGGTTGCCACTTGCAAGATGGTGCTGCAGGTCGCCTTTCATTTGCTTTCAAGTAGGTGAATTCCATAGGGTTATGGTCGATGTATCTCTACGTACGTAAGTGGGTTTTTAGAAGAACTTGGAGCCGGGAGGGTGTTAGCTTGTGGTTGTTGAACTGTTGTCCCTGCCAGATACCCCATGGACATCCCATGTTGTAGATCCATGGGTGGTTTGTTTTGCAGGGAATGACTTGCATTTGGCTGATTTTGTTGGTGCCTAAACGCTCATGTTGGTGATGTTCTTGGGGTGGTCGTCTGTGAGCGTTTGTAGACTCTGTAGACCGCTTTTATTTTGCCAAACATATTTATATGATTATATATAATTATGATTGTATGTGTATGTTGATATATCTAATATTGCATGAGTATCTTTACAATCTAACATTATATAAATAAATATATATATATACACACACGCATATCAGTTTGAATGCCCTGAGCATCGAACAATGTCTGTCTGCCGCCCTCATGGTCATCTGCGCAGGTGGCTACGAGACGTCCGTGCAGGGCCCAGAGTGGCAAAGACTCACTCAGTGGGCTGGCGAGAAATTTGAGGCGAGGTTCAGCCATGGGTTAATCCATTGCTAAATGGAAATCAGGATTGTTAATGGTTAACGATGGTTAATAATGGTTAATAATGGTTAATAATGGTTAATAATGGTTAATGGTTAATAATGGTTAAATGGAAATCAGGATTTTAACGATGGTTAAGAATGGTGAATGATGGCTATATAATATCTATGGGAATATATGTCAATGATGGTTCCCATAGATTTAAGGTTAATAGGTTGATAGTGGTGAGTAACTGTGGAGGTGTCCTAAGTCATGGATGTACCACCAGTTATCATCCAAGTCATTGTCAGTCATCATTGGCTAGCAGAACTTCTACTTCTTGCGGAAAGGTCATCCATTTCTTTTAGTTTCAGATGGTTATATCTGTTTTTCCTTGTTTTTGAATACATGTGCTATATTCAATATTAGGCATTTAATGGCGTATGATGTGGTCATTCCGTTTGTAATGCTACATTTATTTTTGAAAAATGCTTGACATTCTTTGATATTCAATGATTATATGTGTTTTGAAGAACGGCTCACTATTTTATAATGCTAACATGATTCAGCAGGGAGCAGAGCAAAGTATTACTCCACAACAGTGCCTGTTCTTTTACTGTATGAAAAAGAGTTTGTTTGAACATATGGTACTCTTCCATCCACCGTTTTTAATCATTTTGCCTATTAAAAATGCAATTTGGGGGATACAACATTTTCAGACACCCCCAAAGATCAGATTTCTGGTTATATATACCATCACATCCCAGTAAATATCCCCATATCGTTTCCCATTATTCATGGGTGTTTTCCATGATGAAACCGTCCTTGTTTGGTCAAATCTCCCAGTTCTTCCATGGTAGTTAAGTTAACTCCGTGTTTTTGATGTTTTTTCATGGTGTAATCAGTGTAATCCAACTTTGTTGGTTACATGTCAATTGTGAGATCCTGATTCCCCATGGTAAGATCCAACTTAAAATCAAATCAAATCCCTATTTTCAAGGGTGAAGTTCTTATTTTTCATATCCAAATCCCATGTTTTTCCGCGGTAAGACACAACTTTTGGCATTTTTCATGGTCAGATCAAGGGAATTGCACCGTTTTTCCATGGCAAAACCCCCGAAATTTGGGTGAACAGTTCCCCCTTGAGCCAGGCCGTACGGCGCTGCGTCGTGGCCTCCAGCGAGATGCCGTTGACCCTGCGGAAGCTCTCGGACTTCGATCGAGCGCTGGCCGTGCAGGACGGGAGCATCGGGCTGGACTGGGGGCTCCTCTGAGAGACCGGAGGGGATGGGTGGCCATTTCAGGTAGCGATTTATTGGAGCTACCATTTGTTGAGGCTATTTAGGGTTTTTTATTTGGGGGATATATCTTGATGTATCATTCAGAAAATAGGGCTGAACATATGGTGCAGCTGCTCAGTCGCTCCATGTTAGGATTCTGAAATTCCAATTGGCCTATACGGAGTCATGGGGATTTCATGGGGGAGAACTGGGGATTTACAGTGGGTTCATGGGGATTTTAAAGATAGATTGTTGTCGGGGTTTAATAGTGGATTATATAATAGCGATTCATGGTGGATGAACTGGGATGCAATGGTGGATTACTGGGGTTTAATGGGAATTTAGTTGTGGATTAATTTATAATGATTAACGGTGGATAAATCATGATTAATGGTGGATGAATTGGGATGCAATGGGGGTTCAACGATGGAAATTTGGGAAATGATGGGATATATTGCCTGTATTCACCATATTTTGGGTGATGATGAGTTATTTTCCAGCAATTTTGGGGTGAACGAACAGAAGGGTTCTTGATTCATAGCCGCACATTTTCGGCATCATTTCAAGCACTTGCGGTCCAATTTGGGTCGTAAATGGTAGTAGGGTTTTTGGATATGTCTGGATATTTTTGGATGTGACATGGCTTCAGCATGTAAAACATGGATAAACATTGGTCAAACCATGGTCAGTAACTTGTCCAAAATTACGTATTAATACTTATTAACATGTTTAACACATGTCAGATTCGATAAACACAACATATATATATATATTATATATATATATGCAGGTAAATATGAAAAAAGTTGCAAACAATTTCAAGCGAATGGAGCAAGCAGAGCGTTCGGATGTACCGAACAGCGGGCTGTACACTCTAAAAAACGCAAGATCAAGCTGTAATCACGCTGCAATTCATCCATCCTCCTAGATTATCTCATATGATCTCTATCAGTGGATGGAAGAATCTCAGCTAATTCCTGACGCGAGGACTACCGGGATCACCTGTCCAGCTTTAGCTTGGTGGGTTTGGGCTTTACCTACACGTCCCTGGGCCGACTGAAATTGATACAGTTAGAGGACATGTTTTGTCATAGTTCACATATGTCAAGACCAAATGCAATCATATTTCATTTGGATCAGATGGGATCAGTGTAGTATATAGTACTTAGAACATATTTTTGCATTCGCGTTGAATGCACTCCAAGAAGCACTACAATGATACAAGTGCAATGATTTCTTGGTGTTTTTTGCACTTGCGTTTGTGCATGAACATGTGCACATGCGAATGTGATGCAGGCACATACGCGTGCATATGTACATATATATATATAATGTAATGATAACAATTATTATAATCATGGGCATGTGCTGGTGCGTCCGCAGTGCTTACTACATGAACATGAGTAAGAGCGCTAGCCAGACGGCATGATCATCGACTTTGTTCGCATGATTTCTTGCATGTTCAATTCTAAGTCAAAGGATTCAGACACACCAAGGACCTTATTCGACCCCCCAAATAGTCATCCACAGGAAAGGACTACCGGATTGGTTTAAATATGTTTACATAGTTTATGATCATATCTATTTGATGTGCTTTGGTGGGTCTCATGCTTTTCAACTGGTTTCTTAGTCTTCCCCCAGGGTTTTATAAGGCCGGCAGTGCCTCAGGTGTCAGATGCTGGAGCTGCTTGGAATCCAGCTACTTCAAGGACCGGAACGGGAGGCCTGGCAGCGGACAGCACAAGAAGCGGCCAATGCCATCGCAGGGACTGGAAATCAGTGGCTGGGCGATCATGCAGACCTAGAGATTCGTGGTTTTCTGAAAATGAGGGATGCATGGGGATCCCCCAAAACCGTAGAAAAAACTAACTTGGACGATTTGGGGGTACCTCCCATGACTCAGGAAACCTCCAAATGTTCCAGGACTTAAAAAATGCAGAACTGGGATGGTTTGACCCCTCTTTAGCCGTTTGGCAATCAAACCGGATTAACATGGCAATGGACATGTACAAAATTTCCTCATGTTAAACTCAAGTTAAAGATGATTTCAATGATTTCGGCAAAGAGATAGTGATGTTCCAGAACCATGTCATATCATAACTATGAGTGGCTACTACACTATGCCATATTTTACTATATTTTACTATACTTTACTATACTATACTATTTACTAATACTATACTATACTATACTACACTATTCTAAACTATACTATACTTTCCTATACTTTACTTTACTATACTATTACTTTGCTATACTATTACTTTACTATACTATACTATACTATACTATTACTTTACTATACTATACTATACTATAGTATACTGTGCTATACTATACTATTATAATTTATACTATCTGTGGATCCCGTATCCCAAACATCCCAGGTCAGACATGAGCAAGAATGCCGAAGCCCAGGAGGGGCTCAAGGCGCCAGAGTGTTGGTTGTTTGCTTGTTATGATTTGATGATATTTGATGTTGATGATGTTGATGTTCAATGATGTTTATGATGGTTTGTGCAGGCCATTGATGTTTTTTTTCCAGGTGGCGTTTCTGGAGTTTTTTGTTATTCCTGTTTGATCACTACCATATCTTCAATTATTCTGGATTGCTCTTCGCTTAGTTTGATTTGGTGGTCAATGGATTAGTTGCTTTGCCAATGCTACAACCCTTCAATCCTGTGCTTCGTCTGCAACAACCTCTTCCAATGGATGAGTCCGCTTACCCAGATTTTGGACAAAGTGAACCTGGCAAACGGGTTGTCAAGTCTGTCAAGTTGAAACGCAAGCAGGATAAAGCGTATGAACTTAAATGAGAATTGAAAAACACGTTGATCAAAGCACAGTTTCCTTCCATGTCCAGTCCTTGTTGTTTATGCTTGCTGTCGATGCCTGGATGGCGCTATGACCGCTATGCAAAAGTGTCTTTTGGTTGGCAGTAGTCGGAGTGGTCTGTACCTTTGGATTCAAAAAAAGCACGCGGGTTTGCATTCGTTAACGCTTTCCCAAGCTGCTGCTTGTAGTAGGCTATCTCTCATAGATTGCTGCCCTTTTCGCCTTTGCCATGGGCTCGACGATGTCTACTCTGGTCATTGCAGATGAGACCCCAGGTGGCAAAAGAGCCGCCAAATTCAAAGCCGACGGCAAACGCAAAAGTGATGAGCATAAATTCTGGTGGCTGGTGGGTGCCAGCCTTCGCACCGACACACTGCTCGTCTCTCAGGAAGATGAGCACAGGCTCAATTTCAAACTGTCGGGCGGGGATGTGTGCTCAACTGACAGCTTGGACGCGGTAAACGATTATCTCCGAGTCTCCGAAAGAAAGAGAAGAATTTGCACGAGCTCCAGATCTGGGCCCACGGAAGTCAGCACGAACTTTTATCGGTGAACGTCCTATTGAGCCTGAGGATTTTCTGCCCCTCAAACAAGCTGGTGTTTTTGCTGACAATGGTGTGATCTCAGATGCTGCAGTATGGCCGAAGGGGACGCAGGCCGCAGGTATTTGAAAGCAGTTGCCCAAAAAAGCGGAGCACGATTTGTTGCCGGGCATGATCAAGTGATTGTGCGTGGGAAAATAACATGGTTGTTGGTTGTATGATGCGCACAGAGGCGACTTCCATGGCCCCTACGATGTGTGGTAAGCAAACCCGTATTCCGAGATGTGGAAATGGTTAAAGGATCAATTAGAGATGTTTTAAACCTTGCCCGTCAGCGCTTTTTGCTGTATAGTGAGCCTGAGCGCATTTGAAAGCACTTTGTGGGAAGCAGCTCGCAAATCGCGCATATATCAAGTGCGTTTGATATCATTTGATGTTTACGATATTACATGATTGTAGAATGGCAAGTTGGAGAAGGCGGCTTCAACCCAACAGATTGCTTCAATGAGGGCAGTTGATGGTCAATTCGGAAAAGTACACTCAAAGACAAACAATTGCTTGCAGCAAAATGCGTTTTTGCAGCTCTTGCTTGAACAGGCTTGGAATGATACTTTGAGAAGATTAACATTGGACACGATGACATGCAAAAGTTTTGCTTTCCCAAGACCTGTTTTCGCCCCGACAGCCTTGACTGGGTGGTGCATTCGCATCACGCAACAGTTTCAGAAGACAAGGTTGAAGGGGCATTTTTGCCCGTCTGGTTTGGAATATTCCGTCCATTAATGACACAACGCCATCAATTACCATCAATTATATAACTACCGTATTTATTGGACAGTTCCCATTCAAATTG